GGTTCAGGGTTTAGGGCTTAGAAGGTTTAAGTCCCGGGGTTCAGTCCCGTTTTGGCACCGACCGGCGATCCTCTCGCAATGTTCCTCAGAGCTCCACCCAGACCCCCAAAGGGATCTAAACAATAGATCCCCTAATTAGGGACCCTAACTACTAAAGGGTACCTTATAGGAACCCCCTTAGGGAATCTATTTTTTAGATCCTTTTGGAGGTCTGGGCAAGGACCCAGGTATTGGGGAGTTGTAGGCTTAAGGAAGATACCATATGAAGTCGCGTAACTAGGACCGTCCCCTTGTACCCTCAAATAGAGGTATATGGTCCCAAAATAATGGGCATTTCGGGTCGAATAGAGGGTAGATGGAGGGTCTAGGAAGACTTTGCTTGACATTTGTAGTCAGCACCGCCATCCAAGCTTCACCAGCACTTGTTCCGCATCATGTCTGGGTTTCGTGTTGACTGTCGTGAGTAGTCTCAAAGACCTTAGTAGTCGCGCTGGCACATGGTCGATTCCTACAACCGTAACAAGCACTATGGTGAACATGATCCTTACCGTTCGACGATGGCACTCTTTGGATTCTGCGTGGAGCCTGGCCGAACCCTGACCCCTAAACTTAACTGTGCTGAGTGTACTGAGTAGTACCAGCCGGATTCCGAAGCCCTCAACACCACACCCTGGCACCCAAACCCCTGAACCCAACGCCCGCTCAACCCCAAGCCAAGTCACGTGATCTGCTCGTCCCGTCGCTTAACCAACCTCTTGTTGGCCTGAAAGCTTTGTGGGGGATCGGGGTATAGGGTTTACAGCGGTTGCTTGAAGGGGGCGGGATTGCTTGAACATCTTCTTGGCCCTAAGCCCTAAGCCCTACAAGGTTGTTGATGTGTATTCGAACTATACCAGAAGCCATAAAGTTGGAACATCATACCCTTAAGGCCCTTAAGGCTAAGTATAAGGGATCCTAGCACTAATCATCCTAAACCCATGTTCCAACTTCCTGGCTTCTGGGGTAAGGGGTTAGAGGGTTGAGACTCTAACTTGGGAGATCTCGGCCGTAGGGTCTCGAAGGGCTTTTGGGTGCTATCTCTTGTTGGCCTGGCAAGGGTCATGTAGGGGGCCTTATCATGATTAGAATAGGGTTCTGGGCTCTGTTATAGTGTAATCATAGTAGGGGGCCTTACAATGATCAGAATAGGGTTTTGGGCTCTTTTATGAGTGTAATCATAATCAGGAACCCCAGAACAGTTTAGGTAATTCCTACAACACTTCAGGCCACTTCAGGGTCCTTCAGCGTACCGTTGCGAGCATTTCTGGCCTTATAGGATACCTCACCATCAAGGATTCGGATGCTGAAGGCTTGAGGTTTGGGGTTTAGGGTTTAGGGGTTTAGGGTTGAGGGGTTTAGGAGTTTAAGGGTTTAGGGCAAAGTTTATGGTTTCGGGTTTAGGGGTTTAGGAGTTTAAGGGCTTAGGGTTCAGAGGTTTAGCAGTTACCCCCGCGGTTTGAATGCTGAACCAAGGCCAGTAGGTTTCTGGATCCACAGATAGGGCCTGGGTAGCGTCAGGGATCGGGCCAGGGTCGAGTTTCGGAAAGCCCTGAAGCTAGGGGACAATAGGAGGGACCCCGAGAAGGGACCCCTAATCCTAATACCCTACAAAACCCTTATGTACCCAAACCCTAAACTAAACCCTAAACCCTAAACCCTAAACCCTAAACCCCTTATATACAGTCTCATAAAGCCCTATACAGGCCCAAGGGTCCCTTTAAGGGTCGCCCCTTGAGTCCTTTGATGCTAAAACCCTAAATCCTATATGGGTGGTTGTCAAACTTATGGTCCCCTGTTGGGTCCTTATTTATGATACGGCACCTACTATTGGGTACCCCAAAAGGGACCCTAATTTTGACAACCACCTATATAGCACCTAAGCTGAGTTCCAAAACAACAAATAGTCTGGAGCAGTCTGTGGGGGCTAACTTGGTTTTAGGGTTTAGTTTAGGGTTTAGGTATAGGGTTTAGGGTATAGGGTTTAGGGTTTAGGGTTTAGTTTAGGGTTTAGTAGGGTTTAGGGTTTAGGGTTTAGTTTAGGGTATTGGGGTTTAGGGTTTCGGCTATACGATGTAGGTGCTTGGAGTTCAAGTGTAGGCGCGCCTCCAGCTGTCGTCCATCTTCTGCCAGTCCTGCTGAAGTGCCCCCAAATGGCTGACGCCGCCCAAGCCAATGCACTCTAACCACCCTAGCCGTAAGGCTCCATGTAACCATACAGTATATACTTATGTCTTAAGGTACTATAGGAACCCCTTTAAGACCTAAGTGTATGTACTATAACATGGGGACATGGAGCCTTTGAGTAAATCTTACCGTGCCGCAGAGCCTATGCGATACGCACCCCAAATGCCGACACCTCCAGTCTTCAAGCCTACATTACGGTTTAGGGCTTAGGGTTCAGGGGTTTAGGGTTTAGGGTTTAGGGTTTAGGGTTTAGGGTTTAGGGTTACATAAGCCGTTCTCTTGCTGGCCGGGCAATAAAAACACAGGCCGGGCAATATAATACAGACCGCTGCTGAATAGTGCACCTTTAGTTCAAGGCCTGTTTCCTGCTTACGAAAGCACTCATCGAATCTTTCTACGTCGTTTTTCTGAAACTTTATCAAAACATGACAGAACCCTCTAGCTTGACAAAAGCTTTTACGGCTGGGGCTTCACCGGAGCATGCAACTTGTTGCAACACTTATACTTGTAATATGGTGTCATTGCCTACAGAAGAATTTACGCTCCCAACCCTACACCCCGAAATCCTAAACTCTAAACCCCGAACCTCTAAATCCCTAAACCCCCCAACAGCTGCCCAAGCAACTTCAAGGCCTCGGGTTTGTGAAGGTCAAACGTTAGGGCTTTGGGGGTTTAGGGCTTAGGGTTCACGGTTTAGGGTTCAAGGGTTTAGGGTTCAGGGGTTTAGGGGGCCCGAAACCCTGTTTATTTAGGGCTTACATCGTCTTAGATCACTTCCCTAAATGCCCAGAGCAGCATTTTTCAG